TCCCGTTGTTTTTTGTAGGAACTTCAAGCAGGTGAACTTTGGTGCACTAAGGTTTTGCTGCACAAAATTTAAACTGACTTGCCTTCAGTTAAACTAAACATAAGGAGAAAACTCCAAATATTTAAGTTGAAGCATTTAAAGGAAATCTTAAGGAGAAGACCTAGAGTGTTTGTCAACTGTTTTTAATTTTAAAGGAAACCTTAACTCTAATAAGGGAAAAGTCTTAACCTAAGGTGTTTTGTGCAGCGCTGCTCCTTGAATTTTAAAGGGAAAAAAGTAAACATTTACACAAAAGAAGAAACGACGTTGATTTGAATAAAGTCAAGAGAGAAGAAGAGATTAGAGAGTGATTGGGAAACAATAAAGACAAGAGAGATGTAAGTCTGAATCCCATTGGAAGATGTTCACACGTCAGCGGGATTATCAAATAATCAGTCAATCATCAGTTAGGAAGAAAGTGGGAACATATGAGCCCCGTGCAGTGCAACTCTTCCGCGGCTGGTTACCACTACTTCCCTCATTCTGTTCTCTCAACACCACACACACACACACACACACACACACACACACACCCTTCCAGTGATTGCACATTGCAGAGCGCAGCACACCTAGACATCCATCCACAACGAGACTCTGCTGCTCCCTCCCTCCCTCCCTCCCTCCCTCTCTCTCGCGCGCTCTCTCCCTCCCTCCCTCCACCCCCCCTCCAACCCGGCGAGCTTCAGCCGAACTCCCCGCCTCACCATGAGCCATTAGCCGCTAGCACCACCAGCCCGATGTCGCGTCTCCTCCTCGACGGCGCAGCTCTCCCTCACCGCCGGCCGGAGCCTCCGCAGCATCAGCAGCAGCAGCAGCAGCAGCAGCAGCAGCAGCAGCGGGGGTAACCGCGCTGAGCCGACGCCGCGTCTCTGTCGCAGGAGAAGGCGGCTGAACAGGTTGCAGCTGCGGCGCCGGGCAAAGGAGTTACAGGAGGGGCAGGGAGGGCGCGGTCCTCTTTCCTACGTTGTTCGCCTTCTATTTTTTTTTTTTTTTTCTTCTGCTTTTCTTTTTTTTTTTCGGGTCGTCTCTTTTGTGGAGATGCTGTCGCCGGGCTGCCGGGGCCGCTGTCATACCGTTTGATAGAGAGAGAGGCCGGAGAGAGGAGGAGGAGGAGGAGGAGGAGGAGGGGGAGGAGGGGGAGGCAGCGGTGGTGGTGGTGGGGTGGGGTCGGGGTTGCCCTGCCCTGCCCTGGCCGGACTAGCTCTCCTCCAGCAGCATGAACCTCCACTCGGGCAGGGCGTCCGTGGCCATGCTGCGGATGATGGGCTGTGCTAACGGGCGCTCTGCTCGGCATCTCCTCCACAGTGACTGCGTGGTGGACGAGAAGACGGTGGTGCTCCAGAAGAAGGAGAATGAGGGATTTGGCTTCGTCCTGCGGGGGGCGAAAGGTAAGAGCCTCCACCAACTGACTTCTTCTTCTTCTTGTTCTTCTTCTTCTTCTTCTTCTGCTTCCACTTCCAAAATACAACATTGTGCATTTGTGCAGTTTGACTCATCTTAGTCTTTTTGTGCCAGAGAATATGCAAAAACAGCCTGCAAAAACATGCAAATAAGTTATGCTATTAAATATTGATTATAACTTTATTGTGACCTCCCCTAAAGCCCCCACACACACACACACACACACACACACACACTGAAGCAGGAGTGTCAGATAAGTTGTGATGACGTGTGTTGCAGCTGATGGCAACCCACCCAAACATTTTTATATTTATACTTATGTGTGTAACCCCCCCCCCCCCTTCTCAAACATCTGTAACATGACATCACTAGTTAATCCTAAAAGGGAAGAAGAAATCATTTTATTTTGGAGACAAAAACCTCTCCGTTTGTGTTTGATGTGTTCCTGCCTCTCAGCGCCCGCCGTCATCTCTAACCTCTTCCCACCACTCACCATCATGAGTTGTTGTGATACCAGCGGCCGTATATCCAGGCGGTTTGATATTTCACCAGGCCACGAGATTGGCTCTAAAAATAGCCAGTTTTGAGCTGCTGCGTCGGTTTCTATGACGATTCTCGCCATGTCATAATCCACGTTGCATTCCACAACTGTGCAGTGCAGTTCGATTGGTCTACGCCATGGTTACTGTCGAGAGGTAAATTTAGTATATTAATGTTCTCCTTTCTTTTCTGTCTTTTTATTTATTTTTTTAAGACACACACATAGAGAGAGAGACAGAGAGAGAGAGGGAGAGGGAAGGCAGAGACGGGGAGAGAGAGAGAGAGAGAGAGAGGGAAGGCAGAGACGGGGAGAGAGAGAGCAAGAGAGAGAGAGAGAGANAATCCTAAAAGGGAAGAAGAAATCATTTTATTTTGGAGACAAAAACCTCTCCGTTTGTGTTTGATGTGTTCCTGCCTCTCAGCGCCCGCCGTCATCTCTAACCTCTTCCCACCACTCACCATCATGAGTTGTTGTGATACCAGCGGCCGTATATCCAGGCGGTTTGATATTTCACCAGGCCACGAGATTGGCTCTAAAAATAGCCAGTTTTGAGCTGCTGCGTCGGTTTCTATGACGATTCTCGCCATGTCATAATCCACGTTGCATTCCACAACTGTGCAGTGCAGTTCGATTGGTCTACGCCATGGTTACTGTCGAGAGGTAAATTTAGTATATTAATGTTCTCCTTTCTTTTCTGTCTTTTTATTTATTTTTTTAAGACACACACATAGAGAGAGAGACAGAGAGAGAGAGGGAGAGGGAAGGCAGAGACGGGGAGAGAGAGAGAGAGAGAGAGAGGGAAGGCAGAGACGGGGAGAGAGAGAGCAAGAGAGAGAGAGAGAGAGAGAGACAGGGAGAGAGAGAGAGAGAGGGAGAGAGGGAAGGCAGAGACGGAGAGAGGGAATGACATGGAGGGAGAGGAAAGAGGGATTTGGCTTGAAAAACAAGAGGAATGTTCTAGTCATTCTGACACACACTGCTATCACCCCGGGGGAACTGACCCAGCCGAGCTTATCTTGCACGGGGGTGAACACACACGCACACACACACACACACACACACAAACACACACAAACACACACAAACACACAAACATGCACTGATGCTCGAGCTGTCACATAAGCTTACATCCTCTTTTGCTCTCTGCATTTCTGCCCGTTTTTTTTTTTAACTCTCTGCCTCTCTCTCTCTCTTTCTCGCGCACACACACACACACATACACACACACACACACACACACACCTAAAGAAACACAGTCATCACAATCATGTAAATACCCTCATGAAACCCTGGTTTGCGCTCGCAGACTGTGTCTTCCAGTACAAGGATGAGTTATAGGAAGTGTCACTTGTCACCACTGGTTTCTCCCAGTCGCAATATTTTTTAACCTCCCCGAGAGCGGGGGGGGGCTGCAGCCGTGTGTGTGTGTGTGGGGGGGGGGGCCTGGAGCGATAGTACAGTACAGGCAGGATGGTGATGCTGAAAAGTTAAGAGATTACAGGGAGCTACTGCACTGCACTTTTGTTTTAAATGTGCATATACATATTTTTTAACGCACGGTGGCGTGAAGTGTTTTTCTCTTTGTGATCATTCCCTTCATTCTTCTCATCCCACTTCATCTAATCCTTCTGAACAACAAGGCCAGGTGTTGAGTTTCACCACTTTGGAAGTGTCAGCTGAAATGCGACTGAAGCAGCACACGTCAGAAAGTTTCGAGGAAGTTAGAATCAAACTTTCTTCGATGAAGTGTTTCATCATCGAAATGGTTCTACAGTATTTTATTTAGACAAAGTTCCTGAACAGCGTCTAAAAAATTCTTCACTTCGTTATAGGTTCCGGGTGATTCGTCTAATTTTACTTTCAATTACGATTTGGTCTTCCAGCAATTATGAAAACTGGTTAAACGAGATAAAATGATTATTGTGCCGCATTCTGTTTCACAACACATTTCACCCCCCACCCCCCCACACACACAAACCATCCCACTTCCTGGTTACGTTTCGGCGTACGTCGCTAACGACTTATATCTGTATCACCAGAAAAACTACAGACATTTATTTTGAATTTTTTTTTTTTTTTTTTTTTTTGGTAGTGCTTGATTATATTTACTATCAATAATACGTTACTATCTAGTTAGCTAACTTTTTAAATTTATTATTTTATTCGTTTTTCCATTGATTTTTATTTAAAGTTGAAAAAAGTTCAACGTTAAAAGAACATTTTTTCCTTAAAAGTTCAATAAACGCGTGGTGTTTCCAAAATCAATGAGTAATCATTTGAATAATCGTGATCTCAATATTGATCAGAATAATTGTGATTTATGATTTTTGCCATAATGGAGCAGCCCTACTTTATTAATATCCTAAATCTAATAGAAGCTTACTTGTTAAAATCCAACACAAACTATGGAAGACAGGAGTTTCCCAGACTGACACCACAGTCTTGCTTTGACTAGATGATATTGATTGTATTGTTTGAAGCAGTGGTTCTCTGAGTGCGGTCATTGATGAAGCTCCTGAGGGATTATTTTGGTTCATGGGTTCAAACACTTTCTGTAATGCTGGTGTTTTCATCAAACCCAGAATCAGACGAGACTGATTTCTGTTTCTGTGTTGAGCCCAGTTTAGCTCAAAGACTGTTAATAATAAATAATAAAAAATAGTTTATAAAAAGCCTTCAGTTCTACATCTGTCACATCTGGTCACTCACACTGGCAGAAGTGATTTTGACGGAGGAGCATTGACACATTAATTATTTAAAGATGACCTTGTGGTCACAGCATGGCTTTAATAAGAGGGAGTCGCACCTTATTAATTAACTCATCAGCGATTGTATTTCATGCTTGTGGAGTTCATTAACGAGAGAAAGAGCTTCTGCTTCATTTTTAATCAGCTGAACCTCATGTTTGGCTGTTAGTTCTGGACTTAAGAACCTGACGTCCTTTATTTCTCCGTGTGTTCAATATACAACATATAAAACAGGTGATTAGAGTTTTTGAAGGAACATTTTTATCGTTAACTCCTGCTTCAAATCTCTGTGCTAAGCTAAGCTAACCACGTCCCAGCCCTGTCTGCTGCCATTATATATGTATGTATATATGTTTTCTTTGATAATATTTCATGTTGTGTGTTTTGTGGGTATTAATGTCGTTCATTCCCTCTGCCCTCCCCCTCCCCCACCCACCTGCTGTGCAGCGGACACGCCCATCGAGGAGTTCACTCCCACACCTGCCTTTCCCGCCCTGCAGTACCTGGAGTCGGTGGACGAAGGAGGCGTGGCATGGCAGGCGGGACTCAGAACGGGCGACTTCCTCATCGAGGTAAGAAAAACTTTTTTCCTTTTCCCCGCAGAGACGAGCAGAACCCGGGTCCACGCGGTCCGCCACGTGACGAGAGCTCAGCGTTCGGCTTTTGTTTCTGCTCGTTCACTCTGGTGAAAACGTGATCCTGGTTTCAGTTGTTGGATTTTACTTTTGCACCCCTGGTTGTTTGTGATGTTGTTAATGTAACAGCTGTAACACGTGTAGCAGCCTGGATGTGTGCGTCAGTGGAATCAGAGAATCGTCTTCAGGCTTCCTCTTCTTGTTTTCATGAGGTTGTTGAAGACACACGTCAGAACGAGATTTTTCCCACACACCTTTGTTAGAAACAGGAGCCACTTTACTGTGAAATCATCGGTTTGCAGGTATTTACAGCAGCAGCCGAGTCCTGCCACTTTTGATTGGGATAGATGACTCGTTAATGGAGGGACACGTTGTGAAGTCTGCAGAGTGAAGACACTGTAACAGGATGAAAAGTCCTGAGGTCTGTCGTCACTGTTTGTCTTTGTTTTTGTTTTTTATTCCTCCACGCGGAGCCATGTTGTTTTCAGGTTGTCCGTCCCTTTGTCGTGGACACGATATCTCAGTGACGCCTTGATGAAACTTCTTCAAATTTGGCACAAACTTTCACTAGGATTCAAGGATGAACTGGTTGGATTTTGGTGGTGTAAGGTCAAAGGTCAAAGGGCACGGTGACCTCACAAAAGACCATTTTGGCCTTGTGAATGTAATATCTCCATAACGTCTTGAGGGAATTTCTTCAAATTTAGTAAAAGCATTCACATGGACTCAAGGACGAACTGATTAGACTTTGGTTATCAAAGGTCAAAGGTCACAGTGACCTCAGAACACCCTCTTTAGCCATTACTCAAGACTTCAAGTTCACACGAATGGTTAATGTTTTATTTATCTGAGTGGAGGAGGGATACAACCACGCGGAGGTGATTCTAGTTTTCCTGGGCTAACTTCACAAGAACAACCAACTCCGGGAAGCAGCTTTATTCACAGTTGGTGTTAGGTCAGTGCAAGGTTTCCCTCAATGTGACTGATTCAGGAACGTGGTCTGTTTCAGCTGGGCTTGGCCGACGTCCACAATTTAAGATAAGATAAGATCCTGTATTAGTCCCACACTGTGGAGGAATTTGCAGCGTCACAGCAGCAAAGGGACAGTTCAAAACAAGAAACTGCAAAATGTCAAATATCAAATACTAAACTTTTAAAAAATAGATAATAATATAGTATGTAGATTCATCAAAGAGCAGCAGAGAAGGATCGTTGCACACATATACGATGTTATCGTTGGGATTTTTTTCTTTATTTATTGCACTTGGAGGATTTTCTTTATAATATATTGTTGTTATTTTTAAATAATACATAATCATATTATTGCATGTTATGTGTCAGGTAAAAGCGATGCTGCCACTAAACAGCAGTTCAGAGTTTTAGATCTGGAATATGGTGGGAAATATCGCGATATTCGATATCTTCGAACATCGGCCCGAGCTTATGTAGAGCAGTTGTTCATCATTTATTGAGGGAGCCAGTGACACTTGCAGTTTTATTTGTTAAAATTTGCTTGGAAATAATACACCTATATTTATAAAACTGCTGGGTTGTTACACCCACACATGCCAAGGGATCCTCTCTCTGATATTATAGTAAATATAAGGTAGTAGTTTGTTTGACTGGTTCATGTTGTCGGCCATTTAACAAGGGTAGAAAGAACGCTGTGCAGCAGGATGGGGGAAGATGGCACCAGGAGTTTTAATGAAGAGATCAGTGTTAACAGCAGCGACAGGCCGCTCCGTTAGAAACTAATACAACCATCATTTGTGTGTGAGAGAGACACAGATCTGTTTTGGTGTAATAGCACTGATGAATTCAATTTGTGTTTTCAATTAAAGAGATACATTTATTGTTTAATTAAACTAAAAGGGTTTCAATTTTCATCCGTCAATTCATTAGTTCAGTTCATTAGAGTTGATTTCAGCACCAGGAACTGTCCATGTACGACCTGCAGAACAGCAGCAGCATCAGTTTCTCTCCACGTCAGAGGATCGATTATTATTATGTTGTGAATTCATCGGATTTAAAACAATGTGGATAAAAGCTTTGATTTTCCAGAGCGGGTGATTTTTCTGAGGCGACATGACTCATGTTTTACCTGTGGATCAGCGGCGGCTGCACGTTTAACCTCAGAGCAGCTCAGAGCAGCTTGTCAGTCAATCTCTCAGATGCTAATCTTTCAGTATTTGTAGTGAATGATAGATAGAGAGGGGAGTTAAGCTGCTGTTAGAAGTACCTCAATATTCCCTCATAGTTAAAACTAATTCAGCTCCTCAGTCATACGACCAAGCAGAGCTGTAACACTGTGTACAATTAAACTGTTCATTTTCTTTTTGTATTTTGTCCCCAAATTGGTCAGAAAACTGTTTCTTTTTCTTCCTGTATAGTTTTTACTTTTGATTTTTCTTTTGAAATTATTTTTATTTTCTCTCAATTCAATTTTTTTGTTTGCTGTGTGAGACGATTTCATTCAGTCATGTTCAAACAAATCTAATCCTGTGTTCTTAGAGACAGATTGTTTGACTTTTCATGACTTCTGTGCAGCTTCGCACAAATCACAGTTGTGTTGTGTGAGCGGCTGCAGTGTTTGCTCTCTCTCGGCATTGTACAGATTTGTGTTTATCAACATGACTTGAAGTGATCTTCGGTGCTGGTGTGTGTTTTGCTGAAGTGCTTCAGAGTCATTATGCTTCGCTCGAGTGTTGGAGGAAACGTCTTGTTGTAGGAAGCTCAGTCACTGATGTAGCCTCGCATATTACAAATCATCACAGCTGCTGGGAGGAAAACAGTCGGAGGAAAAGCACATTGTCTATTTTCAGCTTGCACTTTTTATTTTTTTTTCCTCCCTGTTCTTATGTGACTCCATAACGACTGTGTGTCTGTAAGCAGCGCTGCACTGGGGATTGGTTTATTTTGTGTTTCTGCTAAATGGAGCATCAAATGAGGAGAGCAGACTGTATCTGTGTCTGCATCTCTTCCTCCCGCTCGCTCGCTCCTCATCTCTCATTTGTTTTATCTCCAATTCCCGTCGACCGCTTCATCCACCTCGGTCTGCGCCCGTCCTCCGTCAGAACTGTGACGTATCGCAGCGAGAACAAGTTTACAGAAACGCATCGAAAGGGCCTGAAAGCGTCCGACACGTTCACAGCTGCGCAGCCTCTAGCTAGTTAACCATCCGTAGCTCATATTCTTTAATGAGCGTGAGCTGAATATCACTGCAGCCACTGATTCCAGTCACTCTACACTTTGTTTTGACCTTGTGCTGCAGTTTCAGGCAGAGCGTTTTCTGGAGACGTACAGTAGTGTTGAAGTGTTTAGTGAGTGTCATCCTAAAAGTGCAACTGCAGCTGAAATAGCAGCTTTCAAATTACATCTGAGCTGTTTTTTAGGTTTTTTTTAAGGTGATGAACAGTTGAAACTCCTTATTTACCACCTTCCTCACATCCTCACCTTCACTCCGTACCTCCTCCTACCTGCAGCAGCAGGTAGAGATTGTGAGGATATGATGCAGGACCGAGGACAAACACAACATCCTGTGTCAGTCCAGCTTCATGTTGAAGTGCTACCAATTAATTACATCACGCCGTGCAGCTGTGTCACCTGTCACCGGGCCGGTAATGGATTGTCGTGTTATCAGTTAGTTTTGGGTTTACTGAGGTGATGTGATGCTGTGTTGTTGTTAAAGCTCCAGTTTCTTCTTCTTCTGTGTTTTATTTGAAGTGTTGATCCATAAGAAGATAAATTTGTGGTTTTAAGAACCAAAAACCATCTCAGTGTAGTTTTACATCTCCTCTCTCAGGCGTCTCTCTGGAGCTCTAGTAACAACAGGTCGGTGAGCCAATCAGAAGAGAGGAGGCTCTGAGCCTCTCTTCTGATTGGCTGACTGTTTTCTGAGCGATCCGATAAAAATATATAAGATTTCAGGTAAAAACACTCAGAGAAACCAAATCCTGCAAGGTTTGGATGGTGGGTCCAGGTGGGCGGGGCTTGGTGACTGCTTTGTTGTGACATCACAAAGTTCCAGAAGTCCTGACGGCTGGTTTTGAGGCTCAGTTTCTGAATACAGGCTGTGTGCATTTCTCTGTGGACTGAGGCTTTGATACTTTCACAGTATTAATATAGAAGCTAGAGCTGATCTATAATCACACTACACATGGACAGAGACCTTTACACTGGAGGAGCTTTAAAACAGCAGAAGAGTCGGAGGTCCAGTATGATAAAGAAGTTCATTTATAAGTAATAAGCGACAGAAAACCAATTTTGGGACAAAATACAAAAAGAAAATGGGGAATAGAATAACCTATAACTCATATGAGTGATGAGCGAATTAGTTTTGTCTATCAGGGAAAATTGAAACAGAATTTAGCAAAAAACTGCAAAAATCCACAGTTTGTTGAAGCTGGAGACGGTTAAAAGAGTCTGATTCTTTTTATTGGGAAATAGAAGGAAAGTATGATGTGAAATCTTCTGCTTATTGTTCCTGAAAAGTGACATTTAAATTTGATCCACAACAAACCAGTGACTGGACTGTCGTAACGGATCTGAGACCAGTTTCACTAAACCAGTTTGTAAGCGGCGCGAACAGTGGTGGTGGCGTCACGTTTCATAAGTGATTGTGGCTCACAGACTGCAGATAGATGTGTGTGTGTGTGTGTAGGCTTCAGGCTCAGCGGGTCCAGTGTGTGATAGGATGAGTAACACGTGTCATAACGAACAACAGGAAATGATCTGCAGATTCGCATCAGAGACTCAGACTGAATGGAAATCACAGAAAATGACAATTAGAATCAGTTTATTATTTCTGAATGAACCAAACAGGAAGAGAAAATGAAGCCACAAGTGTCTGAATGAAGTCGGTATTTGATCTACATCATTTCCACCTGCTACATTAACCTGCTGCAGGTGAAAGAGACGTGACGAAACCAGAGGGAAAA